GGCGCCCAGTCGCCATCTTGAAAGTTTCCTCTGTCAGTTTCACTTCAAAATAAAATATGCATGCATTAATTCTATTAACACAGATATCAATTTTTTGAATTGACCCGTTAAAAAATAAAAGAGGGGACATTGAAAGAATACACTGTATATTTTATAGCTGAAATATCAGAAATTATTCAGTTGCTCCAATGCCCACAACATAGGTCCAATGCCTGGGGCGTGAACAAAGTTCTATTATTACTACTACTCAATTCAATTTTTTATCATTTATCACTTTTGGGATCCACACAATAATGAGTAATCCTGCATTCAACAAAAAAGTCTCACCTTCTGTTGTACTATTCACTTCAGGTAACTGCGTCGAAGACGACTGGTTTTTGTCATCAACTATGGTCCAAGTTACTAAACCTGGCTTGTTCGTCACTTCATCTACTGGTTTTCCTTGTTCAATTTCGTTGGTAGAGGTATTACCAATGACCGTCTGTAAAGTGGATGTTGAGTTAATTTTCTCCAACTGAACTTCATTGGACTGCGTGGTTGTTGTAACTGGTGTTTTGGTTGTTGAAATTGGTACTTTGGAAGGTACTTGAGTGGTACTACTACCAGGTAATTTCGTTGGAGAATTGGTGGATACTTTGATTGAGGTTGATGGTTTAGGGGTTGCAGTCGTTCCTTTCGTTGGCTTCGTTGGACTGGTTTGAATTGGTTTTGTTGTACTGTTTTTCTGCGCTGTCGGAGATTTGACAGTTGTTGATGCTTTCGTTGGTTTAGGTGTAGTGATAGCTGGTTTTTTAGTTACTTTCGTCGTAGAAGTCGATTGTGGCCGTTTGGAGGTGACTACTGGTTTACTGGCTTTGGTGGTTGTTTCTGCCGGTTTTCTTGTTGGTTTTTTTGTAGAACTTGTACCTGAAATCAGAAATAATTATTATATTCTATTATGTTGCGCGTGAACTAATTCATCAGTTACACAATTTGACAGTGTTCAATTCAAATCTCGCCATTCAAAAGTATACACAACCGAATCATCTTCTTACTTTTTCTGAAACGATTATATATTCATTTCAGAAACATATTCACTCCACTGGACGTGGAGAGAATGTATGCACATGATGTCTCGATATCGTGTATTGAAATTTGTGTTATATACTAATTCTGTATCATGTTCTCATGATTATTTCTGCTTATTTCGACATCCTTCATGTGACATTTGTAGAAGTTCAGTGCGCGTTTCAACGCAGTTCCAAAAAGAGAGACAACAATTTTTTTTTAATATTTACTCACCTGTTGGTTTCACAGAAGGCTTCGGCTTAACATTCGTTGTTCCAGTACTGGAAGTGGGTTTTCCAGAAGGTTTCGAAGTTGCGGGTCTAGAAACAGCTGTAGGTTTACTATGAGTTGTTGGTTTTGATGTAATCGGTTTAATAGATGAAACTGTTGGACCTTTAGTCGGGGCTAACGTAGATTCTTCCACGATATTGCCATTTACTGCTTGAAATGTTTGTAGTTTTTGTGGAGCCGTAGATGTTTCCGCTTCTGTAGCGGCTGTTGTAGATGAAGTGGTGGTAACTCTTTGGCCAAACACAATCATAGTTGGTGTTGGGGTGGGTTTTTGTTTTGTTGAAACTGTTACAGGTTTGCTTGTCGTTAAAATATCAATACGGTTTAAAAAAATTGCTTCTCTCCTGATGATGCTATAAATGTGGTGGGACAGAGAGCCTGTTTAAAAGCCACGGTGTCCTTACTTTGGATTGTTAGCATCGTTTTTCTGACAAATCAGAATCAATGCTGGTGCTGGCTTTAGGAAACACTATGTTACGTAATATTATTTGAACGTATTACGAGCTGTGATTCCTTAAACGGTCTTGAACATCACTCTATGATGTTCAAGGGCTAGCTAGTGCTTTTAGTAGACTACAGTCAGGGAAAGATAATGGGTCAAATAAGCTTCAACTTCACAGGAAATGATATCTGATACTATGGAAGTTTACTTCACAATCTCTATCAGTTATTAAGCTTACTAAGTACAATATCAAGAATTGTGATTTTATTCAATAGACTTCATAAATCTGCGGTGCTTCTATGGATAGCTGGACAAAGATGCCTCAAGTAAATGAATATAAAAAGCCAGTATAGCAAACAGATATAAGCGCCAAGCAAAAACAAGGAAGGATCTTACTTGTCTTGGTTGGTCACATCCAGGGCACTTACTCTGACTTTTGGCGATTGGGTTGATGCAGATTAAGGTGAGCAGAAATCTAGATCTCGGGCTACGTTACGTACGTCCTTATATTAGATTAGTTGGAGGGTATTCATGCAAATTGGGAAGCTCAACGAAAGCAGACAGATGTACTAGATAGGTAGTTGATGAAGTAGGGCGATTATGAAGCAGAAATAAATAGGCCTGAAATAGCATGACAACGATTGATACTGTTGGTGAGATTATAATGATAGTGATGATGATGAATCCAGTTCCTCACCTTAGGTGGTGGTGTCTTGGAAGATTAAGCTCTATATAGAGCAAAATTCACAATTATAGGATGATATGTTATCCTGAAGATAATAAAAATGTAGTAATTCTATTTGTTTTTTTCTCAGCTCAAAAACAAGCCAGACAAAGTATTCTTTGATTTATGAAAGTAAAAAGCTGTATAATCACATACCTTACGAAATTAGGAAGGAAAAAAGCTATAAAAAGTTCAGAAATCATGTTAAAGATGCCGTTGCAACTAAAGCGTACTACAATCTTGATGAATATTACAATGGAACATTGTTGTAATTTAAAATAGGTGATTTTTTTGTTGTTTATATCGACACCTTTACTTTAAATTATATTTTATACTGGGATAGATCTTATTTTATTGCCATGGCATGTGAACTTATGTTCAAATTGTATATATTTGTTATTTACATCTTTTGAACGGGACTATACAAACTGTGCCATGGCATGTGAACTTATGTTCAAATTGTATATATTTGTTATTTACATCTTTTGAACGGGACTATACAAACTGTTTTGTCTACATTTTGTTAAATTTTATTTTCTATTGTTATATTGTATCTAATAGATATGTGAACTAGGTTTTGCTCAAATTGTGTTTCTGTGTATTTGTGTTTCTGAATTGTTTCATTTCCTTTATTCTTTGGAGCGCTATATATACCAGATTTTTCAACAAGCTTTGTCAATAAGATTGTATTTTCTTGGACAATAAAGTATATGTCTTTGTGAGAAAAAAATCAAAATAGACAGAGAGAACTCCTGATCCTTTCAACTGACAGACATATGTCATTTGTCATAAGACAATTATGAAGAAGAGATGACAAAATCTCGTATAATACGTGAGACATCATACTCTTTATCCATCGAAAACTATGAAAAATTATACATATTTACGTGAAATTTTTCCTACCTTGACTTCTAGTTCCGTTCAAAGGTTACGAAGGGGAATAGTTTTTAGATCCGTATTGCATATATTTTTATTCTAACAAAGGTATAAGAAATTAGTAACCAATTTTTAGAAAAAGGAATAGATTCTCTTTGATGATTATATCACTCAAAGTATGCATATAATTGTGAAATCACTTTGAAAATACATCAAATGATAATCAAGTAATTCACCGCCTTGGGAAAAACAGTGAACGCAATAAACATGTAATGAAAAAGTACTTATCAATCCGTTAATCTTGAAAATTTGCATATGTGCGACAGCATTTTACATACACACATTCTTAAATAAGCTCACGTCGAAAATATTGTCCAGGTTCGACCTCTAATAGAGATGGATGGATATGATTATAAAACTTGAGGAATCTCATTCAACGAAAGTAGGTCAAATAAGTTCCGTTATGCAACGAAATAAAGTGTTGGATGAACTAGTCAACGAAAATGAATGTTCAACTTGTGAGATGCGGGTTAGGTTTAGAATAGTAAAACATGTTTTGTGGTTGCATTTCATTTATGGGAGTTGACTTTGGTGATTACATGCTGGGAAATAATTTAGTTTCCTAAGTTATTACAACGGCTGTTGGATTGTTGTTTTCCACGTTGTGAAGCGAATGGTAATATCAAAATCCATGAATGGTTTCAGAGATAAAATAGTCCATTGGCGGCGTGGGATGAAAAAGCCCTTTGTTTGAAGGTGATTGACAATATTTCATTATGAATTTCATTAGTTCAGACTTCCATTGTCTGATATTATATAAAATGATTTGAAATGCCTGAAATAACTAAAAAAAAAGAAGAATTAAAAATTTATGATGAAAAACTTTTTAGTTCGATGTTCTTTAAAAGCGTGTTCTTTAAACTATATTTATTTTTCATTTTTTAGATTCGTATGCTATAAAAGCGTGTTTTCTAGTCTTTTTAAACTATATTCATTTTGTCAAAACTTTGGGACCAATCGGCCGTATACGGGTATTGTTTAGAAAAATAAAAAAATTGTTCAAATGAAGAAATACATGTAAAGTGAGTTCGAATCATATCAAGGAGGTTACTTACAGCGCCATCTGCCCGCGAATAGATGGAGCAATAATGTCGATAATTCTGTCAGATCCGGAGCATTCAAACGGGAAAGAAGAGTTACAAACCAACAAACATACATACATACAGGTGAAGCTAATAAATCCATGAATATGGTTTAATAAAATACGAAACTTCGGGTTGAATTAAAATACTTTTGATTTACTCTTGTATGCAAAGTACATATAGGAGTTCTCTCCGAAGATTCCAAATGGAGAATATTTCCATTTAAAATCCATGTATTTTTGTTTTATGATCTCAGTGTGTATGAGGTAATTTTTCAATCATACCTGATTGATTCTAAAAAGTTTTCTGACTTCATTAGGTCAACTCATAAATGCCAGAAATAATAATCAATATGTTCCATTCCATAATCGCCGAGAGAATTGAAAGGCGTTGAATACAACTACAAATAAATCTAAATTATCCTTTCATGCGAAAAACAATTTCCATTTTTGTGCAACACAAACAAAACGGCAGTTTTCCGCTAGAGCAGCGTGCTTATTTTCTTTTTGCTACATGCTGCCGGAAACAGGAGCCAAATGAATATCCAATACTGTTATTGGCAGTGGAACTGGAAACAAGGTTGCTAACATGGTGCAATGCGACAAAATGAAGAAAATAGACATCCTGATATACGGGTGTTGAAGTGTTTTCTTTGAGAGTTTCATGAATAGACTTTTTGAACAAATTTTAAATCAAATGCGTCGATAACAGTTTCTTGATGTGTATTGTAGAATTTAAACGTCTGACGTGAAATGAATGTAATGGAAACTCTATAACCGATACTGAAAATGTTCCGGCACCCCCTGGTGATGCAAACATGGTTAGTGAAACGCTCTAGTTATGGTGTCTGTGAAATTGTTTTTCAAGTCATCACAAAGCCAAATAATTAATCCATCAAAATTTTCGATTACTTATCAAAATCAACATAGATCTGAAGGTATGATAGTTATTCATTAACCAAGGGTATTGAGTAGATGTTTATGTCTTGAAGGTGACAAACTCAGAAGATAGGAAGATAGAAGCGCTGGGGTTTATAAGTCTTCCGAGAGCTCACAAACTTTCATGTCATACTAGTTTTTCATTGCATTTGAAAGGTATACGCTACCTGTTCAATTAATAAGATGAATTTTTTATTTTTCAAAAAAGATGCATCAACTTATATTTTAATCCCTTCAATATAATATAGGGCAGGAGTGCCCCAAGAATCGAACTCAAGACCCATACTTTTTTCACTATATGTAAATGACCTGGCTACTGTACGTATTTCTGGTAGTTTCACTATTTTTGCAGATAATACCACACTTTTGTGGCATAATAAAAATCAACATAAATCATACTAAAACATCTGTAATGACCTCAGCAAAATTTAACATTGGTGTGATGCAAATTTGCTATCATTCAACCCTATTAAAACTAGTTCAATCACCTTTGAGTGTAATCCAACAGAAATTCATATGGAAAGTATACTAGTGGAAAATAAGATCTCAACAAAATTCTTGGGAATGATATCGATGAGTGTCTGAAATTCGAGGAGAATGTAGACATTATGAATAGGAAACTTTCCTCCGGGTCTTTTGCACTGAGAATAGTAGAAAATTTTGATGTTTTCTTCATTTTTTGTGCGGTCCTGAATCGAACAAGATGAATATATTTCATTAATGAAAATTGAATGGCTAGGTACGACGGTAATGTCTGATTACGACGAAAAATGCACAGCTTCCATTAAACAATATAACAAAATGCTCAAAATGCATCTACCACCTGCATGGGGTTGGCCAAAGTGATATACACTGCCCACCACTCGCGATGGAACAACCCATTTTTACGGTGAAACATACTAGGGGGCAAAATAGGCTCAAAATTCCTTCACATTCGTGATCAGGACTACCAACTCACTACGAATACACTTTTTTCCTGTGAAAAATTCTAGGCCTGAAAAATCCGAATTTGTCTAACTTCTCATGAAAACACCCCCGTATCTTCCGTAATATTCAAGGTAGAATGATGAAACTATCAGAACTGATGGAAATGCTCGAAATGCGCCTACCACCGGAGTTAGGTTGGCCAAAGTGATACACACTGCTCGCCACTCGCGATGAAACAACCCATTTTTACGGT